TTGGCAGAGAGAAACAGAATGAAATAAATGAGGAAAGCAATGTGCGGATATGTTAATTAGACTTGAGAATCAACACAAATGCACAATAATCTAACATTTATTTTTGTTTTTTTTGTATATGCACCCTGCAATGCCTAAGATAGTTTGTAAGGGGAGCAGCAACATATCCTCTATGTGGGTAATGCATAATAGTTTTTTGTCCTGAATATTGAATTTCCACATGCTATCTAAAATGTTTGGGGACAAAACCATGGTTGGACAGAAGCAAGGGGGACATTTTCAGTTTGCATTGCTTTTTTTTTTTTTTTTTTTTGGATTTTCAAAATGCTTACAACAAACAGAGTTGCATAGAATCACGAAATAACAATCACAAAGCAATAAAAGAACAGAGAAATAGGCTCATCGATGAGGAGCATATAGGTACATACAATGTCAATACTTAACAGTGAAATAACCATCATTTTCAGACAATTGAATAGGCAAATTGGAAATGGAGATGGGGACAGAGTTGGCATGCAAAGCAGTGAGGTACTCCATTCTTCTAATCTCTACTATAACCTTCACCAATTCTGATTGTGTAGGAGGCATAATAGAAAGCCAGTGCATGGGAATGGTTCTCCTGGCCGCTGTTAAAACATGGGAGGATAGTTTCCTGGCAAATTTGGAAAGGCCTGAAAAAAGTATGCTCAACAATATGTGGATGGGCTCAAATGAAATAGGAGCCTGTAAAAGTAGCTGAAAAAGGTTAAGGACCTCTCTCCAAAAGGGTGCAATGTGCTGGCAAGTCCAGAAAATGTGCAAGAGAGTGCCAGTTTCCTTGCCACATCGCCAGCAGACAGAAGAAACACTTGGATTGCGAGCATGGAGAACCTCAGGAGTCTTATACTAAAACTTCAGAAGATCTGGAGGCAGCCTCCCAAATCCTTTCTTTTTATTTTTATTGCTCACTGAATGTTGTTTAATTTATATCTTTGGATTTGATCAAAACTGTAGTTATTTTTACATATCTTCATGCATGCCCTGTTTCTTTCCCTGTTTTACATTTTAACTTCTCCTATTCTGGTAAAGCTGTCACCAGAACAGGAAGTGAGAAAAAATCTGGCTAATGGAATCTTGAAATGCATTTAAAATGGGTGAAACTGTGAAACAGAGAAAGGGATAAACTAACAAAAATATTTTTTCTATTAGGAGTTACCATGGATAAGATCTAGTGGGGCAGATCTAGGGCATTTAGCTCATATGGCACCTTCTTTCCAATGTTAAAGTATACCTTCACCCCAAAAAACAAATTGTATGCATCTGCCTCCAGCCCCCTCCCTTTCACACAATTGGATATTTTTTCTTTTCATTGCTTTCTGCTGGACAGAACTTTAATGCCTAGGTGAGAATATTGGTGCCCTCAATCCATGCATGCACATATATGCTGAAGGGTTATGCCCAGACCTTCAGTACCCAGCAGAGACCTTCAACAGATATGCATGAGCTGGAATGCATGCATGTGCAAAGAGAAGAAACAATAAAGAAGGTACCAGAACCTCTGTTCAGTCTCTGCGTACATGTTGAGTAGTCAGTTTTTGCATAAATGTGCCTAAAGGCTCTGCCACTTCCAAAGACCAGACAGAACACTCCAGCACATCTGTTTATGCACAGGATCATTAAAGATGGTGGTGTTAGTGGGGGTGATGCCAGCAAAAAGAGAATTGAAATTTCTCTTTAATCATCACTACACCTTGTCCACCAAAAGGAGTGTAAAAATGTCTCAGATTGTGTAATACCACTTTGGAATAAGTGAGCCATCAAATCTGTGCAACACTCCCCAACAGTATTACAAGCAATACCCATTCTAACTATTTCATAGGAGTGACATTGATATATTTTCTTTCATTCAAGGACTTTTGTCAAGAATCTCCAAATGTTTTTAAACAAATAAAAATAATGTTCTACATTGTAAGTCACATCAAATATGAGGTTACACTTCCTGATTATACAGTATATACCTGACAAATTCCCAATGATATATGAGCCATTTCTGGCAGTACATGAATATTAACATCACATGTGAAATCAGGAATAATGTATCATTAGCCATATACAGTATGATATGATATACCTCTGTTGGCCCTTATTTATGATAACTGTAACACCGATGAGCCAGAGTTAGTAATCATATCAAACAATAATCACATGATGGGGAAGAGCACTTAACAAACAAACACCAATCATGACTGCTTTACTTGACTAATGAGAGGGACTTTCTAAAAATGGAGGTTTATAGCAACACCACTCGTCAAAAAATCCAAGTAAAGCACAACAGAAAAGCACATTTAAACAGTTTTAAGCCCAGAAAACACAGGTAATCCACAGTTAAATGGTAAAATATTAACTAAATGTTTAGAGTGCAACTAACAAGATACTGGGGGAGATTTAATAAAATTGGAGCGCTCAGAATCTGGTGCAGCTGTGCATGATAGCCAATCAGCTTCTAACTTCAGTTTGTTCAACTAAGCTTTGACAAGCCTGGAAACTGATTGGTTTATATGCAGAACTTCTCCAGATTTTGCACTCTCCAATATTAGTAAATCAGCCCCACTGACTCATTTAGAAGATTGTTCTGCCACCAATATTGTAAAATATTTTATTAGAGTTTATAATGTAGAAAATGTGAAACTGGTGCATTAAAGATACTGTTCTTTCTCCATCAGCTGACCTGTGTGGGCAACCTACATAGTACCACTCGCAGACCTTTTCAGTTATTTGGCATATGTGCGCTACAGCCTTAGTAAATCACCCTGTGTATGTTTTTAGTGTTTTTATGGACTAATATTATTGATGAATGTAAAAGAAATCTAAAACCAGAAACATTTTTTTTATTATTTTCAGTGAAAAATATTACACTTTAGTTACATTTAAAATAGTTTCCCAAAAATAAAAAATAGCTACCTTTTGCAATTTATATAAAATATATACAGTAATGATAATTTATAATGGTGTTATATTAATATTGATGGCAAAAAAATGAATTCACAAAATATGCCACAAATAATCCCTTTCAAATGTATGAAATCAATTAACAGTAATTAAATGTCTAAAGTTATTTCATAAATGCAATCTTTAGTTACATCTGTCATACCTTTTCATAATATACCTAAAAGGTTAAAAAGTTAAATAGTATATTTCTTATATTGTACTGTTTCTTACAGTGAACACTTTTTTGCTATTTTATATGATAAAGCAAGATAAATAATTGTTGCAGTTGAATGGGTACCCAAAGCTGAGAGGTTGGCATATTTTATACTGGTTAATGCATTTAATCCATGGTTTGTACAGTATCACAATGTCTTTATAACAAATCTATTGCTATCCTAGGTGCTAAATCAAAATATGTTCAAGGTAATATATCTGAAATTCTAACTATTGCAGCCCTTGTAATCTGTGGCAGATGGACGTGTAGTTTCAATGGACTGTGAGGGCACTGATATACTCTCTCATAGTCCATTGATATGTTCTCATAAACAGCCCACACAGATGATCTGAAAGCCAGAGGGAGTGTCTGCAGGGGTCCACATTGTATCAATGATCTACTGAATATGGGTGCAATACTTGTCAGGCTCTTGCTGGAAAAAAATAATTAAATGCACATTTCTTTTTCTCTGAGCCCAAAGACACAAATCTCTTAACCCCCACAGTGCTGGCCCTTCTTTTCAAGCTATCAAAAGACTATCTGTCCACCTCCCTTTGCCACTTCGCAACTTTTTTTCCTACCTAATGGCATGAGACAAGGCTGCCCATTATTGCCCCTCTTATTTGCTTTATGCACAGTACCCTTGGCAGCCCATATTTGGAAAGATCTAAACACACATGGCTTCACAGTTAGAAATAGTTAATTAAAAATGTCACCCTGGACAATCCTACTTACACTGAAGCCCTCCCACTAAACGCCTCCAATGTCACAACCCAGAACTTAAACCGCTATTTCCCATATACATGGTAGACATCTGCGATACAATATGTGAAAGTAAAAATTGCCCTCACATATGACACATTATATAGGGAGAATTTAATTCTTCTTTTTCAAGATATTAGAAAGTCTCTAGCGCAGTGGAGGAATCATTGAATTTCCCTATTTGGCCATATAGCTTCTATTAACCACTTGCCTACATGGCACTTATACCCCCTTCCTGCCCAGGCCAATTTTCAGCACTGTAACACTTTGAATGACAGTTGCGCGGTCATGCAGCACTGTACCCATATAAAATAAATATTTTTTTTAGACAGAGCTTTCTTTTGGTGGTATTTAACCTCCCTAGCGGTATGATTCTTTTCGATTTTTTGTGCTGAAAGCGGTACCATTTTTTCGCACGGAAATAGTTTTTTATTGTAGGCTGTAATTTTTAGGAAAATTTGCCCACAAATCATCATTCAATTCTGCGAGTGGTTCTGATTTACTATCGCTGTTCTCTAGCTGGGCTAAAACCGCTTTTGACATAAAGGGACACTTTTTGGACGCCATGGACGTTTCTCAGTTTCCAGGCAGAAAGAACAGACAAAATGCAGGCAGGGCACAGGACAAACCATTGGGGACAAAATGCATGTGAAATGGGATGAAACAGCAATGTTTTACTATTTAAAATTTAAAAAAAAAGACATTTTTTAAATTTTTTTAAATTTCCCGCCGCCGGCGGCGCCCGTACGTCCCGACGTTACGGGGACCGTAACACAGAATTCGGATGCTGGCATCGGCCGGAGGAGATGGCCGGGGACGCTGCAGGGGACACATCGCGGGAGCGAATGACAAGGTAAGTGCTGCAGGGACTCCCTATGCAGCGCTGCATGGTAAGCCGAGTGTAGCTCGGGGTTACCGCTTTTGGTATACAAATTTTACCCCGAGCTACACTCGGGAATACCACTAGGGAGGTTAATCACTTCTGGGTTTTTTATTTTTTGCTAAACAAACCAAAAACCTCATTTTGAAAAAAAAATTTTTTTTTCTTAGTTTTTGCTATAAAAATTTTGTAAATAAGTGATTTTTCTCCTTCACTGATGTGCGCTAATGAGGATGCAGTGATGGGCACTGATAGGCTGCACTGATAGGTGGCAGTGATGAGGAGGTACTGGTAGGTGGCACTGATGGGCATTGACAGGCATCACTGATAGGCGGCACTGATATATGGCACTGTTAGGCGGCACTGATTGGCAGCACTGATAGGTGGCACTGAAAGGCAGCTCAGATGGGCACTGATATGTGGCATTGATGTGCACTGGTAGGCACTGATATGTAGCATTGATGTGGCACTGATGGGCAGTGGCATTGATGTGGCACTGATGGGCAGTGGGAGGTGGCATTGATGGACATTGACAGGTGGCACTGCTGGGGCTACACTGATCATCAGGGCACACTGATCATCAGTGCCCTGATGATCAGTGTACATGTCCCCTCTGAGGAATGCTGATTACTGGCTATCCTCTACTCACGAACTGTCAGCGTGACAGATCTTGAGGAGAGAAATGCAGATAACCGGCATTTCCATATTTACATGCGATCAGCTGTGATTGGACACAGTTGCTGACATGACTGAGCCAATTTCTTTGGCTCTTTCTGTTGATTGGTGATCCGCTGTGTCCGAGGGACACAGCGCACCACCGTTCGCCATACTGCATGCCCCGGGAGCCGCGCACGTGCAGTTAGTGGGAGGACGTCATCCCAGAACAAGACAACCGCCTTGCGCCCATCATTTTCTTATATGGTGGGCAGGAGATGGTTAAAATGAATAATCCTATCACCATTATATATCTTAAGATCTTACAAATTGACTTCACCTGGGACTACAAAAGACATAGGGGTTGATTTACTAAAGACAAATGCACTGTGAAAAACAAAGACATGTCGCAGAATACATTTTGGCTGAAATGTATGGTGAAATTTAATTTGAAATTTTTTTTACTGGACATGTTTTATAGCAAAAAGTCCAAAATATAGTTTTTTTTTCTTCTCAAAATTGTTGGACTTTTTTTTTTTTATAGCGCAAAAAAATAATAAAAAAATGCACAGGCGATCAAATACAACCAAAAGAAATCTCAATTCGTGGGGGAAAAAAAGGACGTAAATTTCATTTGGGTGCAGCATTTCATGGCCGTGCAATTGTCAGATAAAGCACTGCGTAACACAAACTGCATATGTAACCGCTTCCTGATCACCCTATAGCAGAAATATTGCATGGGCATGCGACATGGGTGCGCAAAATCATGTGTGTGTGTGTGTATATGTATGTATGTATGTATGTATGTGTGTATGTGTATATATATAATATATGATCTGCGCTCCCGTGGTTTTCACGCTCCTCCCAGATAGCATCAGATTGCCCGTCAGTACACCAGTAATCACATTTAACTCCTTGATTGCCAGAAACATGCTCATACACAATAAACCTCCATTGCTAGTATAGTGTCTGAACGGATCAATATCTTTAATCAGATCAGCACTATACCAACGTTCACATTAGTATCCCCAAAAATGTAGTGTTAGTGAGATCAGCCCAGGCACCTGCCAGCACTTCCGTTTAGCCCCTACGCTTATCCCCCCTTCTCCCCCACAAGTGCAGTGTCAGTAGGTCACTACAGTTTTGTGTGCAATGTATCAAGTGACAGTGTTTGCAGAATCAGGCCTGATCTCTGCTAGCACTTGTCGGTAAATTTTGATGATTCTCATATGCAGCAGAGTGCCAGTACTAGTGCCGATCTACCTTTTGTTGAACTGGCGAGAACCAGTGGCCTAGTACATCCTGGTATTTCACATACCAGCACTGCAGTATCACTTGGTGATGTGGCAAGTCCCATAAGTGCAGTACAAGCTGGTGCGGTGGCGAGCACAAGTATTGTCCCGCAACTACCAAGAATTCGCTCACAGGCCCCTAGAGCCCCTAGTATCCTTCCGGATGTGCTTGCAATACCCGATTGGCAGCCCACAATTTCTGCAGCAACCATACTTCCCCCATCTACTGCCCAACCCACAATTCAGGTGGAAAACACAAGTTTAACTACTCCTCTTGATTTTTTGGAGCTGTTTTTCATGGAAGATCTGTATGAATTGATTGTGGATCAAAGCAATTTATATGCCCTCAATTTATCGCCGCCAACCCAAATTCAAACCTTGCCAGACCATTCGAATGGAAACTCATTATGGGTTCTGAATTTAAATTTTATGTGAATGTCAGATCAAGGGCAGTGATTCTAACACTTGCCCTCCTCTGTAAATCTAAAATAGTAGCTTGTAAAGGCTTTTAAAACTTGCCTATGGATAGTAAAAATGTATGCAGTTTGTCGCCATTGCACGGGGCATGCGCAGGGCAAAAAAAGACATAAATCTTATTTATGTACCGTATTGCATGACTGCGCAAATGTCAGTTAAACTAGTGCAGTGCTGTATAGCAAAATTAGTGCAGCACCGAGTAGCAGAAAGAGGCCTGGTCATTAAGGGGAGTAAATTCTCTGGAGGGCAAGTAGTTAACTTGTGATCTGCCTGACTTTTTCTGCTCATTAGCTATCCTTATGTTAGAGTATTTTATGTGTGACCCCTGCATTACACCCCCTTTGCAATTCTCCAAACTATCTGATCTATCAACACCCTCCTCGCAGTTCTCCAAACTAACTGAATTCTTATTGAATTCTTTGACTATACCACTAATGTTTTGGACCAGGGTGGTGCTGTGGACATATTCTATCTTGATTTCAGTAAGGATTTGATATAATTTTGCATAGTGATCTCATAAAAAAGTTGTGCAAGCTAGAACTTAACCCTTGGGTGATTCAGTTGGCTAAAAGGTAGATGGACTGTGGTTGTAAATGGGTATTTGTAAATGGGATCGAGTACAACATTGTAGGTACAGTGTTAGCCATCACTACAAAGGAAGAGGATTTTGGAGTACTTATTTCAGATGATTGCAAAATGAGCAAACAGTGTGGCCAGGTAGTGGGAATGGAGACCAGAATTCTAGGATACATCACTAGGGGGTCACCAGCAGGAGGAGGGAGGTCCTGATTTCCCTTTACAGTAAGTCCCCGACTTACGAATGAGTTCCGTTCCAGGAGAACATTCATAAATCGGATTCGTTCATAGGTCCAACAAAGTGAGTCTTCTATACCTTTGACACAAATATATACAATGTAAAGCATAAAAAAAACCCTACAAAAATACTGTAAATAAACAATTTTTACTTTTACAATTACCTTAAAATGGTACAGTACAACTGTAAATAAACTATTTTTGCTTTTACAGTTACCGTAAAATGGTACACTACAGTATAACTGTAAATAAACTATTTCTACTTTTACAGTTACCTTAAAATGGTGGTAAAGTACAGTACCACAACTAGCATACAGTGGAAGAGAGTTACTAACTGGAGGAGGGAGGGTAGATGGGAGATGGTGGAGCTGAAGGATCATCAGCAACAGGCGATGGAGGACAATATGGAATTTGGTCCACACCTGATGTTGACGGAGCTGAAGGATCATCAGCAACAGGAGATGGAGGGTAAGATGGAATTTGGCCCACACCTGATGTTGACAGAGCTTAAAAGTCCTGGAAAATGGCCTGTGTAACCCAGGCTTTGGAGTTACCCTTCCACACAACAGGTAGAGAGCCCTTGGCTATGTTTTTGAGGGCTCTTGGGTTCTCTGAATGGTAAACTAATAGAGGCTTTAGTTTCATATCACTGGAAGCATTGCCACCAAACAACAGTAAGTCTGTCCTTTTGCTGCTTTGAAGCCTGGCCTCACCTTTTCCTCTTTACTGATGTAACTTCATTCTAGCATTCTCTTCCAGTACAGTCCTGTCTCATCAACGTTAAAAACCTGTTGGGGTAAATAAGCACCTTTTGTCAATAATTTCTCTAAGTGTTGCTGGAAATTGTTGGGCAGCTGTGGTATCTGCATTGGCAGCCTCACCACTTTTACGTTGTGAAGGTTGGCTCTAGCCTTGAATCTGTTTAAACCATCCATGGCTGACAGTAAAAGTAAGCACACAGCAGCACAACTGTGAAAATGTGCAGCTGTGATAATGCTCAACATTCACCTGAGCTACTTCTGCGATTTGTTCGCATCTACAAATGTTCGTAGAGCAAGGTCCAATCGTATCTGTGAAAGTTCGCAACTCGAATGTTCATAAGTCAGGGACTTACTGTATAGATCTTTAGTTAGACCTCATTTAGAGTACTGTCAAGTTCTGGAGACCTCACTTAGAAAAAGATATTGATGAGATAAAACAAGTCCAGAGAAAGAAACAAAAATGGTGAAATGTATGAGGGATATAACATATCAGGAGCGACTTCAGAAACGTAAGGGACAGTCTAGAGAAAAGAAGAGAAAGGGAAGTCAGGATTGAAACCTTTAAATACTGTACATGAAGGGGTAAATAAGGTTCAGAAGGGCAGGATTTTCAGTATGAAACCAAGATAAAAAACACAGGGACATGACCGCAAGCTAAAGGCCTGTACACATGATAAGAAAAATTGCATGAAAATTTCCATACCAGGAATGATCTATTGATTATCTGTTAGTATAGTACTTTTGACAGTTGATTCTGACTGTTTGGATGGAAAAAAAATGAAGGTGCAAACTAGAACATTTTTATCATATGTGAACACAACATTCAGTTTTTGCTCAATGTGTGCAGTGATCATACAGAAATAAGCAAATAGAAAAAGTACACGATGATAAGCAAAGACTGACCCAAAAGAAGGTGGCAACTGCCATAGAAATTCTACACAAGAAATAATGTTTACCTATGTAGGCAAAATAGTTAATAATATTGTTGGTTACATCATGATATGCACCTTCGTGGGAAAATCAGACGATTGTCTATCCAATTTTCTCATAGTGTGTATTAGGGTTGACAAGAGTAAATCCAAAACTCACCTTAAAAAGTCTTTTACTGAAAGGGTAGTTGATGTTTGGATTAGACTTCCAGCAGAGGTAGTGAGTCAGCCAACAGTAAATGGCTTCAAACATGCTTGGGACAAACACAGATCTATACTCAGCATAAAAAAAAACAAAACATATATAAATCATTTAAAAGGGCAGACTTGATGGACCACTTGGTCTCTTTTTCTGTCGCAACTTTTCTATGTTTTCATCTCCTTTTTGAAAGAACCATCCTCACAGACTCTTCACAAAAGGGATTAATATATGACATCTACATAACAAAAAACACATGTTCATGCATATGTAAATGGACGTAAATTCTAGGGCTGGAGATGTCTCTTGAGATGTGGCAAATCATTTAGTCCTAGGTGGCAAACAGTTTGATTTAAAAAAAAAAAAAAAAAAAAAAAAAAAAAAATACAAAACCTATATGATACTCTACCACTGGTACCACACTACGGAACTTTTCCCCATCCACCTTACAGTCAGTGATT